TTATCAGGTCTACCGATTTTTCGGATGATTACCGATTTTGGTCCTGGTCTACCGAATTACCGATTTTAAAGCAAAATCTACCAAAAAGTGGCCTTTTTCTTCAATTGAATAATTTTTTTTCCCTATATAAGAGCAATATTTCTGATGATGCATAGCGATAAAAAGAATGACAAAAGTACTATTATTATTCGTACTAGACCAGATATATTTTTAATCTCTTTGCCTGACATTGGTGTGTCGCATACGCTGATTCTTCGCATCTGGGGTATCACCGAAGATACTCGATGATTTGGCTACATCGCCTAGGCCTTAGCGGCTCGTGACAAGACCATGCCTGTATTGTACGAATTGTATGATTTTGTGTACTTAGTAATTTCGAATTCGGTCAGTATTAGTATTGCCTGGCTTGCAGTAATTTGTTTTTTCGCGTGCGTGTGCGCAACATTATAAGAAAGACTGGGAAGAATTGCCAGATTTCCAAGGCTGGCATAAAAAGCAATAAAGGGCGCGATTATGCAAAATGCATGGTCTGAGATATATATATATATATATATATATATATATATATATATATATTAATATGAAAAGTGGATGAGATGCACTTATAAAACACACAAATGGGCAATTTCATAAAAAAGTGCAAACCATAGCAGAACAGCCAAAACTGTTGTCATCTGCAGTTGCAAGTGCATCAAGGAAATTAGAAAATGATATTAAACAAGGTAAAATTAATGAATCTATTTGAGAAGACTTGAGATTATTTTATTATTTCCAGGAGAAATTCGTTTGAGCCCATTTTTGGCCGAGCATAATTTGCCATTCCTGCTGATGGATGATTATCAAAGCAAACTTAGTAGATATGACTGACAAAAACTTATACAAAAATGAATCGGAAGAATCATTATCCAATATAGCTTACACATTTTTTATTTTATACACTTTTCTGTTTTTTATTAAGAATATTTTATCTTTAGTTAGCTAAAGTGATATATAAACTGTTAACTTTTGTTTTGTCTTTCTGTTTTAGAGTATATTTTGAGTTAAATAAAATTGTTTCAAGTTTTAAGCCTTCATTTACTCTTCGGTATTCAATCTACCGAAAAACTACCGAAGAATTCCATACAATTCTACCGAGATATCGTCGATTCCACCTGGCAACACTGCGTCGTGCCAGGAAAAAATGTCAGAATTAGCTTAGTGTGACTTAAAACCTTGGTAACTCTTCACTACCACGGAAAAATTGCGTTTTCGATAGCTAAAATTGCTTCTCGGCAGACTACAGCACATTCTTACCGAGTTCCAAAGATTAATCTACTGGTGATCCTAAACGTGACCTGCTTGACTATGATCATCAACACTATTTGACGTTAGTATAAGAAATATAGTAAAATTCTTAGGAGAAATTGTAAGTTGACAAATTATTGGTTAATGCGTATGAAAAGAGTTGTTCTATGAGAATATATGTAGGTCGTGCTAGGAAAAAATGTTTTGCCTCAATTCTATGTTTGCGAAAAATGGATTTAAAATAATTTTTTATTTTTTTCATCAAGTTATTTTATCGCTAATGAAATGAACCTTGACCCTTTTTTAGCCATAAAATAATCGCAGATCAAATTTTGACACACCATAATCGTATAAAGAATTTTCATTTAGATTGATATGGATAACGTGCATATTTGCACCTACAGGCCAAACGGCTGGACGAATTTTCGCATATAAGGTATCGTTGGATTCGTCATAGCGGTGCGAGTGACACTGGCTACATACAAATTTTATAAAAATCAAAATAGCGGATTTCAAATAAAAGATTTCAACCTTGTAATTCCTATCGCACAGGCTATAGCTTAAACGGCCTTCTAGCTCCACAATAGAGCGTGTATCGTCACTTTACTGTAAACACAAGATTTTTCTACATTACCTATATTTTAGTATGTTCCGTGGAGCAGGATTAACGTGCTCATGATGTACGTACTGCACTACATGTATTCATCCTTATCTCACAGAATGGCAATAATAGACAGCAACCCAGACAGCCAGCATCGGGATCTGGTTGTCAGCTTGCCTTTCAGTTCGTTACAGTCGACTATACACTAAGGAGTGAAGTTTCTTGGCCTGTAAAATTATTAAGGGAGTTTTAACGCTACTATGCCACTAACATAAGATAACTTAAGGTCTACCTGGGCTGGCGCTTAACGAAACTGGAAGATCTGGCCAAAGGTATCGAATTAACCAATTTTTAGTTGTATAATTTCTCGGGCTGGAATATTCGCTGGTCAGGGCAAGTCTCATAGTTTTTGGTCACCCGAGAAGAAGATCCCGCATGCTAATAATCTAGAACTACTGACAATTTTCTTCTGTTGTGAATGCTTTGCTCCCGACTTAGTGGGCTGTCGATAATGCGACAACTATATCCTACATCAATGGAATGGGGAACTTCTATTTTCCGCGTCTGGACCAAGTTGCGGGAAAGCTACGGCTGTCGTGTAGAGAGAAATCTTACTGTCCTCGTGTCAAATATAAAATCTAGCAGTAATACTGGTACAGATGAGCTTTTGCGTAAGTGGGTCGTGAAGACGGAGTGGGAGCTACACCTGTCACCGTCCTGAGATTGGTTAATGTGTTCGGTGTCCCTGAAATTTTGCTTCTAGAAGTAACGCAAATATCTGATGGAGGAACCTGGGATGCCGCTCTCACTAATTCTCGAGCTTACTCTGGTTGTCGTCACTGGAAAGCTGTCATTCCGATCAGCATCTATAATCCATCATGTCATTGTGGGCTTAGATTACGGTAGGACCTCTGTCGGGAAGAAATACATGTCTGTTTTTCTACCTTGAAATTTCTCACCTTACAGTGTGATAAGAGATCAAGGTATAATTGTTTGAGCTATCAGTCTTTTACCCAAAGTGCTACTAACGATGCAGGCATAAGATGGTTTTTGAAGGGCATTTACAGGCTGAGGTCGTCTCAACCGAAATATAGATACTGTGGTTCTTCTCAACTATTCAAAGGGGATGGTGACGTCTGTCGATACTTGGATGAGGTAATCTGTAATCTAATTGAAACAGAAAACATCCGGATCGGATTGAAAAAATATTGAAATTGGGATTTCTCCTGTCACAACTCTCCTATCTTACTCCATTTCTCTTTTGGGCTATTTCCACAATGTTTTTTATTGATTTCAGATGTTGGTGTGTTAGTAGCTACTTAACGTGTATAATTGCATACTGCATACTTTATTCTTCCAAAATGCCAAATAAGTATATACGAAAGGCTGATAGAGAAACTGATAGTGTCGAAATCTACGATCTGGACTTTGAAGAGTTTAGGTTAAGAGATAAAAGTTTAAGAGTTGCTGTGGCCTCTTACAATCTAAACTATATGTCTTTGTCAAGATATATTAGACCCAGAAGGCAAAGCTCCGTCTATTGGTTATACCATGCCATCCATTTTTAGAGAAGAGGACGTTAATATATATTAAGCAACTATTTGTTAACATGTGCAGCATCTAATTATGGGCTGACCAGGTAAGAAACTAGAGTCATTGCATATAAGTTAGAAAAAAAATGTAATAAAGGAATTCGAGAGTCATGGCAGAAAAATGAGAAAGACATATTTGGAGAAGCTGATTTTCTGCCAAGTCAAGTCACTGATTGTCCCTATCCAGACGTAGAGCAACCGGTTTCAGAAATTGTGGACAATCCAGCAGAAAGAACTATAACTCAAAATCTTAACACTGACGCAGTTGATAATGATGAAGCAAGAGCTATTACTCCAGGTACATCTACAGATCAGATCATGCCATCTAGCAATTTGTCAGTTGTTAAAAATAATGCCAATGAACCTGTTGGCTCCACATCTATAACCCCTAGTCCCCTTACCACTGTGTGCTGTCGCCGGAATCAGTTAGACCATTGCCAACAGCTCCGCCAAGAAAAAACAGCCAACCAAACCGACGTAAAATCAAATCTGCTGTCCTCACTGATACTCCCACGAAGGATGAAATAGCTTCTATAGAGGATAATAGGAAATCTAAGAATGTTAGGAAGCGTGACTTAAGCGAAGAAAATAATAAACCTTAAAAAGCAGAAGAATAGAACAAGTGATGAAGAAGAAGCGGAAAATAATTGCTTTTGTTTTGTTTGCCTTGAAGCCTATGCAGACAGCAGATCGCATGAGCAGTAGGTCCAATGCCTGGAATGCAAAAGCTGGGCACACGTAGATTGCACTGGAGACGAGCTGCATTACGTTTGCCATAATTGCGAATCTGATTAGATTAAGATTTTGTACTGATTATAATAACAATATGATTGATCTCAAAGCGATGCCATATTTAATTAATTAAAAGATTATAATTACTTGTTATGAGAATGTTAATACTATGTTGTTTTAGTTGGTAGGTACTAAAAGATGATTAAAGTACTGTTTGGTAAAAAAAGTGTTTGATTTAATTATATTATATGTAATTGTATTTTTTTATACCTAATAGATTAAATACAATGCTGTCACAACTTACCTCGGTGGTAGTAGAGTTGTGACAGGGGGAGTGGTCTTTGATTTTGTTGATTTTTTCAGAAACTATGACACTTTAATTAATTTTGGTGATGGTTTTGAAAACAGAAGGAATGGCGCTAAGTTAATTCACATGACTCATAACTGTGAAATGTTTCTTGATCGAGATATAGCCCCTTATGTAAAAATTGTCATAACTCTCCTAGGTCTCCCCTAATAGGTACTTCCCTGTTAGGAGAAACAATTAAATCGGACCCAAGAGTTAAATATAGCGTAACATTCAGGTCGAATCGCCCGGCTAACCAAAAGGCCACAATCAGTAATCAACACCTATTATTTTCTGCTTTCAGATCCCGAGTCGGAGGCCGTGCTTTATTGTTGATCATAGAGATTCAGGGACATCCTAGAAAAGATTTCTTGGGGCTACGGGAACGAATGTATTGCACAGGATATGGAGTGTGGTTACTGTGCCGCGTAGACTACTAACTAATATGGAGATTAGTGAGTCTAACGGCCTTGGTGGCAGCATGAATTTTTCATTCCACTTTGAAAATGATACTGAGGTAAGCAACCTTTGTAACGTTTATCAGAGCATATGAGACTATTTACTCTGATGCACAGTGGTCTAGAACACCGAGAAGCTTGCAAAAGTACAATTTCATACGATTTCCAGTAAAGCATGTTTTTCGGGATCGAATATATGAAACCTGGGATTAGTTTGTTGCTATGAAGACATTTGAAAGTCATTTCAAGGTCATGTCAAGGATAGTTGATCCCAGCATGATGTCATTTAAGTGCTTCTGGTCGCCAAATTCGAATCAGAGGTCAAGTAGTCACTATCAGGACATCTGAAGGTCATTTTAAGATCACTTTATTGGTTAATTCAAAATAGCATTTGAGTCCAGACGGTGTTCTATAAGTATGAGTCTTGAAAATAAAATTACGTTTTGCCTGTTTTTTTATGTTAATATTACGGTCTGAGGGACATTCCTCTTTGATGCTTCAAAATATCTTAGATTATACATCATTTCCGTCTATTGTCCTGTTGTATTTAGGTCGACGTAAACAAGTTCATTACCTCAGTACCTCCCACGTATTTATATACATATATTTAAAGTTGTAGGTACACTAAAACTTATTATTGGCGATGAGAAATACCGGGTTTTAAGATTAGTGACTATCTAAACATTTTTTCCACTCAACTAGCAACATCAAAATCCACAACCAATTTTATTAACCATTAAGACAACACCGTACATCATCTGCGTTAACATGCGTGTAAACTTTCGCTCAGTCTAAAGCAGACTCTGAAGCTCTACAGACATCGGCTGGTTGCTTATACAAAGCAGACCTCCAAATAGCTTTAAACGATTTGTTCGTACAGCAGTAGGCATCCTGTAGGTTACCGTGTCCAAAAAATCTGTTCATTCTGCTACGCTATTTTTTTTTGTAATTGATCCTGGGCTTCTGCTACGCTATGTAAATGGAATTCATACGGCCGGACCCCGGACACAATCATCAACAAGCCACCGACCTTTGTACAAACAACCCATCATTACCTAGGTCTTATCTGCAAGCATCAAGATATTGCTCCTTTTATGTCCTGAAATCTTTTTTCAAAAAAGGGGTCGCAGATTATAGTATTTAGGGTTGTCGGTTATTTAATAGACACGGTGTAAACAGGCCAAGAATCACATAGACAAACAAAACTGATCGATGAGTGACATGGTTTTTCATGACATCTTGTACTATAACATCTATAAAAAAGGTACTTCCTTCGCAATGTCGTTATCAGTTCATAAAAGATTAAGTTAAGCGCAATTTAAATCCTCCATAAAGTCAGTTACGTGCGTGTACAACAGAGAAATTAAATGAATTCAAGTCAGTTAGACATGCCCATGCAATTAGTCCATAAACATTCTTCACTATAAAACCGATATTTACTGTCCCTCTGGCAAAGTTGTCCCTTTCCATATTTGCGCGGGATCGCTCAGCGAGGCATCTCTGCAGCGACTTATTTCGTGCTTTGTGCGTGTATATCTTTTTTGCCCTGCAGTACGGATAGGTTAGTCAGCCGGTCCGATTTGTCGACCGTTGGATATAGATAGCAGGAGTACACAGCTAAAAAAAATGACTCCATAATTCTTATTTTACAAGATAAATGTACCGGGAAATCTATAATGTGTGAAATACGGCTAATAGGTGCATAGAATTACCAAGATTGTCTGGTACTAGGATCAAAAAATTGTCATATACCCTCCCCCAACTTCTACTGCCCCGACTCCTACAAAATATTTTTTCACAATGCAACGTCAAAAAGTTTGGGCGATTTCTATTTTTCAGTATTAGCGGACAGACAGACTGACGGAAATGAATGATCTGCATATCATACAACACCCAAAAACAATATCTCGTTTTCGAAATTTTTCGCGATTACAATAAAATGTTATCTCGATTTTCTTTCAGCAACTCTAAAACTTTCTCTGTTACTTCCTGGCTAATGTTCATGAGAAATAAAACGAATAAAGTAGATTAGCTACTAGGTCTACAGTTTAATTTATTAAAACTATAATGTACTTTATTTTCAGTTGAATAAGACATTTCAAGGATTCGACTACGGTCTGCTGGTACCTTCTTCTGAAGCAACCAAACCAGTGGCGGTACCAAAGGAATATATGTCTGTATGGGCGAAGGCAGCATGGAGTACCGCGTTTGCAGCCATGGTGGTTACTTCCACTGCTGGGAACCTCATTGTCATATGGATAGTCATAGGTAAGTCAAGTTTCGCTACACGTTAGCAGAATCCATCCAGACACAAATATTGAGGAGATGTGCTCTATGGTTAAACTACACTTCCCTGAAGCTACTGTTGAGAAGCTCATCTCTAAACATCCTGCAGAGTATTCATCTTATGAAGTTACCATTGCCCATAGCAACTTCAAAGCAGCTCTGAATGTGAATAAGTGGCCCAAAAATACTTGCGTCAATCGTTTTTTATACAAACGGAGGAATGTGGCACAAATAAGTTAGATTTTGTGCCATCGCTTTTATTGTTAAACACTCAATGTATGAATGCATTTAAAGTTGACGAATTGCTCTTAACAATGATGGACTTTAGTAGCATAAATTTCGTGTGTTTGACTGACACTTGGGCCTTGAGCGAGTCAATCAAAAATTTTGTAATCGACGACTTTCACATTTGTAGTCACTATTGTAGATCACAGTACAAAGGAGGGGGCACAGCCTTATATACCCGGAAAACTGTATCTACCAAAAGTATAGATCTTACCAATTTTTGTGTTGAAAAACAGATAGCACTATGTGCTTCTTAATTTAAGGACAACGGTATAACCACCGTTTATCAGCCGTACCACCACATAATTTTATGTGGCGATTTCAATATCACAATCAAGGTACTGAATCTGGAAACCTGAATAGTGTCCTCAGTGAATTCAATTTGTCTCCATCAGTGGGATGTCCGACAAGAATAGGACGAAGTTCAGTCAGCACTATTGATCAGATATTTACAAATTTTAAGGACAGTGGTACTTCCTGCGCTTTACAGAATAATATGTCAGACTACAGGACAGTCTTCTTTGAATTCCATGAAAACATCTCAACAAAAAACAAACCTAATAATAACTGGAAAAGGTGCTACGATGAAGACTCAATAAACAAATTCATATCAGATCTATGTACTGAAGATTGGTCTCTACTATATAACATGATCGATGTTAGCCTCGCGTTTGGACATTTTTTTGAGGTATTTAACTACGACTTTCAAATGAATTTTCCACGGCGAATGCATACGGTTTCAACCAAAAGAAAATTGTGGGTGAACGAACAAATAGTGCGTTCTAGTCACAATTTAAAGGAACTTCATTATTTAGCAACAGTAGTTCCAGAATGTAAACAACAATATATTGAAAAAAAGAGACAAACCAAGAAATTAATAGAACATACAAAACGAAGGTATTATCAGAAAAAAATATTTAATTCCAGCAACAAAACTAAAGCTGTATGGAAGACTGTATCTGAACTGACCGGAAATAATACAAAAAAAAACAATAATATGAGTTCGACTGCTACATCCAATCAGAAAAACCGTGCTGATGAGTTCAATCAGTTTTTCAAAAATGCACCTCTAAAAATCGTCAGAAATATTCCAACAAATCCCATTCATGATAATACCTTTAGTTCGAACAGGGAAGATACACAGCATTTGATGTTGCTGTATCCATTTACTGATGATGAATTGTTTGACTTAATTAATAAAAAGCTACAAAAAGAGCATTCGTCTGGGCCTGATGAGGTCCCAAATTTTATAGTAAAAAAGTATTGAATTACATTTTAAAGCCACTAGTCTTGACGATCAATACATCATTCTGCACTGGGAAATTTCCCTGTCTGCTAAAAACAGGAAAGGTGATTCCAGTATACAAGAAATTCCCTCTGAGCTGAGTAATTACAGACCAGTAACAATACCTTCAACTTTTTCAAAGGTATTTGAGTACTGCTATCTGGACAGGTTGTTTTTGTTTTTGCTAAATAATAATATTTTGACAGACAAGCACGGTTTTCGAAATGGGAAATCTGCGGCAACAGCAATTCACAGCTTCTACGGAACTCTTGTCAACACGATTGAGGCGGGTGAGTGCCCTGTTGGGATCTTTTGTGATCTCAGCAGGGCATTTGACTGCGTCAATCAAGAAGTGCTAATGCAAAAAATGTCAAAGTATGGCATAAATGGTCCACCATGTCACTGGATAAGGTCTTTTTTAGAGAATAGGTCCCAATTTGTGAGCATCGTCGATAGTGGTCTGAATGCGCCTATTAAGTCCGACATAGCTGACAACTCCATAGGCGTCCCTCAGGACTCTATTCTAGGACCTGTGCTATTCAGTCTATATGTAAATGACCTTGACTTCTGTTCCTCTGAAGGTAGATTCATTTTATATGCAGATGATACTTCAGTGGTGATATCGAATAAGTGTGAGGCTACATTAGAGAGATATTGTGGAGTTTTATTGCAAGGTATTCACGAGTGGTTTAGCAGCAATCAGCTCTACTTGAATTCGGAAAAAACATCAGTTGTCCAATTTCACAACATCCAGAAGAAGCCTAGGACATTAAATATCACTTTTAATGGCTCGAGAATGTCTCTTAACACGCAAGTTAAATTCTTGGGGTTGTATCTAGATACAGGTTTGAATTTTAAACACCACTGAGTATATATTGCTTCAAAGATAAACGCCCAATCATATCTTATGAAAAATTTGCGAACTGTCCTTACCGAAGCACAGATAGTTTCTGTTTACTATGCTCAAGTTGAGACACGTGTTGGAGGACGTGCCACTGAGTATTTACAGGGACATGTGGTTTCAGCATGATGGCTGCCGCACTATGCACTCTCAGTGAGAGAGTATCTCGATCAAAACTTTCCAGGCAGATGGATAGGGCGGTCTGGTACAATACCGTGGCCAGCCCGTTCACCAGATTTGAATCCGTTAGATTTTTTTACTGGGGAACTGTAAAAGAAAAAGTGTATTTCAAGCCGATTCAAAATGTAGCTGAGCTACGGCAAAGACTATTGGAAGCAGCTGAGTTTGTTATTAACCGTGGATTCGCTCGTTTAATAACCCGATCTTGTTTAAGAAGATGTCGAGCGTGTATTGCGGCTGAAGGAAAACAGTTTGAGCATATGCTGTAAAGGTAAATCATCATCAGCAGCATTTTGACGCCCGCTGTTGTGCAAACAGTTATCCTTAAGGGTCCTTGTGCATTTTCATAATTGCTGTTTAATTAGGAAATTTTGAAAAATTTTCATCAGTTTTTCTTCAAATAAAAATTGTGCATAAGTTAACGAGTAATCTTCTAAGTGTTATACCATTTTGGAATCCTTATTAAATGCGCCAACTTTTAAGGTTACTTGCCAAACTCTCGTAGTACATTTTTTTCCTGTACAGCCAGTTAAAGGTGAGCAAAGTTTTACTTTGGAATACTTGGTTGGGAAATAAGTGGCAATTTTTCCTGAACGAGAAAAGTTGGCAGTAAGGTTGAGACACCAGTTTGAATATGCATTATTCATCATTACATTGTAAAAATAAAATCCAAAAAAAGTTAATATTTGTAGTAACAGGAGTTGACAGACTGCCGTAGGGTGTGAAATTTCTATATTTTTTTTCAAAGACCTATACTTTTCAAAACACATACATAATTTTTTTTTAATATTTTTCTGATAGCTGTTATGACTTTGCCTATCACCCGGTTTCGGCTTGACGTCGACTTCTGGGACACCCTGTATAAAGGCGTGGGAAGAAGTTTGCGAAGCTGTTTATTCAAACTACGATGGTAGTTCGGGCATGGGCGCCAATTGGGGGGACATATTCTACCCCCTGGCTTCTGCTTCAAAGTGCAATGTTCTTAGTAAGTTACCCAACCTTTGGGTAAGAAGTGGCGTGTGAGTTTTTTTTTGCTCTTCAAGACATCTCAACTTAGAAGATATTATTTCTACTCACCCCCCCGTCCCCCGCCCGTCTCAAATTGTCACCAACTGGTTGCCTAGTTCTTCTTAGCATTTTTGATCCTCCACAACCTGACAACTAAACATGCGCCTCCCCCCCGGGTCTTGCTATATGGGCGCTCATGAGTTTGGGTGAAGAAAAAAAAAACAAATAGGTAAGTAATAGGTTGACAACTTGATGTATTTCTTTAATAAATATGATTAGATATTTAGACCCTTCATTTTTGACAAAGTAATTTGCAAATTGATCTCTTACGGTATTGCCAGTCTTTGTAAAGCTATTCGTATATGCATTGTAATCTGTTAATCCAACTACAATCATAGCATCTTCTTCCTTATACATATCGCGCACTCTAATGAAATTGTGTAAAATGCAGCAGGCTTTGACCTAAATTTGTGGAAATGATATTGATCCATTGATAGGCCTTTGAAATATTGCAAATTTATTTGTTAATATACCAAAAATCGATTCTATGTACCGACGTGCACGGCTTAACCTATAATTGAATATTTTTTTCTTATGTGTCTGTTTTGTACGCGCGAAAGGACGAAGCATACTATTAGCAACCACCAAACTCATCTTTTTATCCATGATTGTGACTGTACCACTCTGGATCACGGTCCGCATAGAATTGAACGACGAATTCGAGCGCAACGGACCCATACGCTAATCCGCGCACGGGCGGTCCGCGATGCACTGAATTAGCACTAAAGACTCTCTATTTGCGTTTAATAGCCCGCTCTAGCATTCAATAATCTAACTTCGTCTTAGGTATACGAGGTCTCGAACTTTGTTGAAAATTTATTTTTTTATAAAGCATTTAAACGGGCACTATTTGTGGCCGGTCCATGGATCTCGGATATATCTGTTATATCACGACTATATGTTGGCAACGTTGCTTGAAATGTGTAGAGACATACCTGATCAGAATTCCTCATAATATTGACTACAAAATCAGTCCAAAATAACTTACGAAATTGCACGCATCGCGGCAACTTACATTACATATATTATTACATCACCACAAGACCCGGTTTTTTAATAGCTGGTCAACATTCAAGTTTGGTAACTATAACTTATAAGTTAACTATTAGCTGTCTGTAAACTTGTTTTTTAATCTCTGATTAACTAACAGGCAACCGGTTGATCTGGCATGTTCTTCTGGTTAAGGTTAACTACCGTTGTAGGACATCCTGACATTGAAAAGCATATTTTAAGAGCTTACTTCTGGTTAGCAAAAAATCAAAATTAACCTGAAATTGAAAATTGGCGTTTAGTAGGATGGGTCCTTCAAAATTAAAAATTTTAGCGCTGGTCGTTAACATGTTAAAATAAAATCATAACTGTGCCGGGATGTGAGGCATTGCGGATTTATGTTTTGTATGAACTTTTCTTCTCAGAATCTCTTTCTGAAGTTTGACCATGCACTTCATCAACACCCTGTATGTCAGCAGTCAATAATTTCAAAAACAAACTGGAG